ATTGGATGGATATGATGCTATGTTAGCTAAGTAGGAGAAGATGAGTATGCAACTAGAGACACTTACGAAGTTGTTTACTCAATCCCATATTTCGGTCGTTAATGCCCAAATTCCAATGGTTTGCGACACTTGTGGAGGAGCTCACAATAGTGATAGTTGTGATGCTATGGCTTCAATAAATCCAGCATAAGCGAATCTATTTGGAACAACCAGCATAGGGAGAATAATCCTTACAACAACACTTACAATCCCGGCTAGAGGAATCATCTTGCATTCTCATATAAGCCCACACCGCACGCAAGCTAATATGGGAATTTAGCCAGCGCAGTCCAGTCAACTTGCTACTTGCCAATCATATTGAGCAATTTCCTTTTTTTATCCTATCAATCCAATTGATTGGTTTCCTTAAATTTAGCCCATCAATCTAATTAATTGATTTTCTTAATTTGAGCCGATCAATCTAATTAATTAGTTTCATTAATTTTTTCCATTGTCATAAAATCTAATTTCATGACTATATTTAAATTCAAAATTCAATAATCAAAATTAGAATTCAAATTAATTTTATTAATTTAACATTTAAATTAATTAGGTTGCGCCATGGATCAAGTCTCACTTGACCCATGATGCATATAATTTAATTTTTTTAAAAAACTTGCTTAAGATGAAAAGTTTACACTTTTCAAAAGAATCTAAAGCATTGTATGAATTACACGTGATAAAAATTTCCACAAAATAACTCCGAATTATAATAGTATAGCTTATAGTATAGATTAGAAGCTCTCTTAACAAATGCTTGTGCTTCTCGCTGATTATAAGATGATCCCACCTTTAGGCTAAAACTCCTACTTCTTTTTTTCTTTTCTTTCAAAATCTCCTACTTTTTTTGAACCTTGAGTTTTATCCTCAAAGGGGCATCGTTCTATCAGTACAATAAACATGGAAAATTTCTGGCATATGTTAGTGTTATGGATCTGACATAAATATTCACATTTTAAAAGGTTCAATAAGGACTAATAGTTGGCTTTTTGACCCTTTTGCCCCTCATTAATTAATTAATAACCAATTTGCCCCTGATCAAGAACTATCCACCAACCTGCCCTCTTTTAGTCGACTACCTTGCTGTTTTAGTTGAGCAAATGGTCAATCTTCAGAAAGTGGACTACCGCAAATTTAGTCGACTAAAAAATCATCTTAATCGACTACATTTTTGGGATATTTAGTCGACTAAGTATCGATATTTAGTCGACTAAATATCGACGGATTTCTTTTTTAAAAACCCCCTATTCGGCAGAGGGGGAGTAGGATGACCTAATCGACTAAGGAGGCGGCCCAAACCCCAAATCCGCAGGAGCAGCTGAAGAACGCCCCAAACCCTTCCCTTAGGCGTGTGGATTGCCCCCAAATTTGGTCCAAATCGTGAAATCTGAAGGATAGGTAAGGTTTCTTAACTTGCATTGTGTTTTAGGTTTAGGAATTTTTTGTATTTGTTTGTTGTCCGAATTTGTGAACTCTAATCAAAGCGTTTGTTGTAGGTTTTGTAACCCTAATCTACTAAGGTTTATTTTTTTGCATTGTGTGAATTTTTTTATTTGAAAAGTTTGTATGTGGCAAAAGTTTGCTTTTGGTTTACAGCGCTTATGTTGCAAGTTTTCATTACCATCATGACATGTTTCATATAGTTAAATGCTGACATGTTTCATTGTAGGTACCCTAAACAAATGACGAGCCGCAGAAGACCAAGCGATGAGGGCAATGAGTCACTTGAGAGACGCACCAAGCATAGGCAAGAGCGGCCTTCTTCGTCAAGGCGACAAGACGAAGAGCCTGATACTGTTGACCTCCCGTATGGGTATCTGTTTGAGGACGACCCTGCCGTCCACGCTTCATTCGTACGTGACCATTTGAACCGGCCGTTATGTGCTCCAAAATCTTTGGATACAGCCTTTTTTGATAAGGAGGGATTTGAAATTGTGGGGGTGTTGGAGGCGGCACATCTGAGGGTGTTGGCCGAGACCCTATGTCCGTATTCAGAGCTTATGGTGCGGGCCTTCTACCATAACCTCAGCTACGTACAGGGCGAGCTGAGGTCGGGGGTCTGTGGAATAGAGATCATCATGACGACACCTGCATGGTTGGAGATACTCGGCTATGATTTTGACTCTTCTCAGACTGTGGTGTATGACGCTGATAGTGGTGTAGTACTTCCAGGATATGTACGAGAGGATGCCGTGCAGGAGCAGAGAAGAGTCCGTGGGGAACACTTGCACTATACGGTGGGGTTGCTTTCTGTGGAGTCCCGTATACTACACTATGTCCTCACCCACGTTCTGTTTCCACGATCTTTTAATCATTCCAGGGTGTTGGAACATGACATTCCCATTATGTGGGCTATCCGACATGCCCAGATGGTGAACTGGAGGCACTATATCTGTTGGTTTATGTTTAAGGCCAAACATAAGGGTCATCTTCCATACGCCTGTCTGGTACAGAGGATATTGGTTCACTTTGGTGTTCCCATGGAGACTGAGCTGTTGAAGAAGACCACGGGCTATAATTGCAAGTTCGGAAAGCGTCTATTGGAGCAGTGCAAGATTACTAAGAACACGAGATCGGGTGTGTGGGAGTTTAGTGGTATGCCCCAGGTTGAGGTTCCTTATGTTGCCCCAGATGACCATATTGTTGAGCCAGATGTGGAGGAGGAGGAGGATGTGGCTGAGGTTGAGGAGATAGCTGAACCTGAAGGTGGATTTTCACTGCGTGATGTCATGAAGGGCATAAATGCAATGACAAAGAAGATAGGAAAGATGGCGCTGGCACATAAAAAATGGAGAAAGAAAGGGAATGAAAGGTTTAGACACATACGGGGAAGGTTTAAGGGTGTGGAAGACAGGCTTGCTCGTCTGGAGCTTGCAAGAGGTGGTCAGGTAGCTGAGGCAGCAGGGGATGGGGGTCATGTGTCAGATGAGGACGACTCGGAGACAGACACAGACGGGGATGACGAGTAGATTTAGGGTGTACATCATGTTATTATGTTTTGTTCATGTATTTCCTTTAAGTCGTTGATGTAATGTAACTTTTTTTAATGAATGCAGAATTGTTATGTTTTTTGGATCTATGTTATGTTGTGTAATGAATTTAATTCCATTTCAATATTGTATAACTTATGAATGGAACCTTTTTAGCAATTTGATCATCACGGCACAAAACAATATTGAACAGGTCACATTCGTCCATAACACATCACAGCAAATCAGTACATGTGTTTAAAAAGGCTACATCTTGTATTGTTAACCGTAAACAAACGTTATGACAACATACGACTTGGTTTTAGGAATTTAATGTCCACATGGGTTTTTTGACTCGGAAATTATGCTCCCTAAGTCACACTCCCTTAGTGGATCAGTGTAGAGTGGAAACCTAGGGCAAAAAACATGTGTAATTCGGATTCGGGGTCCTAAACCAACAATTTAGTCGATTAACCTGTACCGCAATAAAGGTTATACGACATAAGCCATGTTCATGGAGAATGACAGAAATAAAAAGGGGAAAATTCAAATGTTCTTAATTCATTTTTAATTTATCTGCTACAAGCAGTGAGTCCCTGTTCTTTATTTTCAACCATTCCTCAATATCTTGTGTTCCTTACCTGTTTGGTGGCTCTCTTGGCCGAGAGGATCTTCTCACGAGCATTTTCTGCATGCTCTGTGAAATCCGAGGCATAACTTCCCTCACTCTTTATACATACAAGATGAACATGACTTGGACCAGAAGATGCATCAGAAGCCATGGATGGGGGTGACACTCAAAAAATTAAAACATCCTTGATTTCAAATAAGTGTCGTTGGGGATCTTGGGCGGCACTTAAATAATAATAATAAAAAAAATCAGTGCCAATAAAGGGTGTGTCCAAAAAAAAAAAAAAATCTATCACATGAGTGCCGTAGGAAGTTAGGGGCGAGATTTAAAGTTGCTGGAGTCCCCCTACGGCACTTAAAGACCCAAATAATAATTTTTCTCTGCTAGATACCAAATTGATATATTTAAATGGGATAAATCCGTGATCAGTCAAAGACCTCGTTTATATCTCACAGAGTTATATCAATTTCTAATTGGACATTTTCGATGCAGATCAACAGCTAGCCTGTGGCCGCTGTCTTGTCTTAGACTGGCCCTGATTAGTCATCATCTTAAAACCCACCATAATAATTGCTTGCTTTACCGCACACAACCGCCAGTGCCTTGAATTTGATTTTCAGAGCATTATTTTCAGCCGAGTTCGCAGTGTACTAAAGATTTTAATTTTTTTTTAAAAGTCTTCAATTATTTATGAATGTTATGGTAGCTCAATCTGCAAGTTACGCGGGGGGTGGGTGTTAATACCAAAATACAAAATTCGAGATGCATTGAGGAAGAATGAAATAAAGAAAGGGTGAAAGCAAAAGCTTTAGTCTTCACTTTCTCTATTCCCATGGACGAAGATCTGCCTTTCCCTTTACCATCACACCCTTCTCAGTTTGCTTGTGATTACAAATCTCGAATCTCTCGTTTTCCATCTTCTTTTTCTTCCTTTCCTTTCTTTTCCTCATCATCCATCAAACTATTCCGTCAGTATCTATCTGAACGTTAGATCTGAACGAGAATGAACGCATCCCCACCTCTTTCTTTTCAGAAAATCAAGTATCCTATTCGCTTTTATAAAATCACCCCCTTACTGTTCTTTGTGGCATTTTCTTGGTCCTTCAAAACAAAGCCAGATTCTGTGACAGTTACATACATACACAATATGTACATATTACAAAGGAAAAAAATGTTATTTTACTAATTAACAGAGGATGCTCTTCAGCTTTGATCAGTTCTGTTCTCAACCATCATCACAATTAAAAAGGGAAACAAACTTCGCATACTTTACATCAATTTGGTTTTGTACAAGATACTCCGAACCACAAAAACAAAAAAAAAAAAAAACAAAAAGAGTCTATTCTCAATGGCAAAACATGTAACCATTTTCTTGAATCATATATGCTTAAGAAAACAATAAAAAAACCAAAACTCAAAATGGTTCTGTAATATTTATAATTATGATATGCTAGTAATGAACAGAACTACACTATGAGGCCATTAGCAATGGCGCGATTAGTACTATAATGAGTAGTTTCATACACCGGAAGCTCCTCACAATACCTACTATTTCCTAACACAGCCAGATGATCAAGCTCGAAAAGATCCGAACTTGCATAGCTTGTTGCATCATCATCATCTTCTTCTTCTTCTTCTTCATCTTCATTGTAATTAACATTTGTCCTTAAGGGAAAATCTTTCATCTTCTGATTGTGAAAATCTCTAGAAGGTTCCTCCTCCTTCGTTTTACTAAGTGACCGTCCAATCTTCCACGTGTCGTCTTGTTCATACAAGGATTTATGACCACAGGGTCGACTATCTTCACCCACGATCACGCTCACAGGGTAGAAACGCACCGTTCTCTTCACCCCGTTACGCAACTTGTTGTCTCTTTCAGAGGAAGGAGTCTTGCTCAAACAAGACCTCGAGAATGAAGAAGCAGAGGAACAACACGTTGAGGCTTGCCCTGATTTGGTTTTTCTTTCGGCGTTCGCGTCTTCTTCCTCGTACGTGGTCGACCTCGTACTTCTCTTCGCGTTCACCGTTGCGAACAGAGAGTTGAGGAAACTGGTGACCCTGCCACCACCGGGTGACACGGGTTGCTTCTTCTTCACCTTCTTGAGGTTGTTGTAAATCTTCAGTGCCCTTGATTCGGACTTGATCAACGCTTCGGTGTTGGAATTGCGACAGAAACCATCGAACATGCGCATTCCATGCTTCTCTAATCTGAATGACGCGCTGGTCCTCACTGCCTTGGGCCTCGGTGGAGCGAAACACGAGGAGGCACGTGACCTCATGGACTCGGTGTCGGAGGAGGAGAATCCACCTGAACTAGAATCCGAGGAAATCGAAGTGGAACTGAAGAAGGGAAAATGTTGGTCATGATCACCATCAACATGATTCGTTTTTCTGTCCATTTTTGTCCCAACAACCTTGTTGTTGTTATCTTTTCTGTCGGTTTTTTCTGTCCTTTTCCCGTTGCTTGTGATCTGTTTCTTACACATTGTTTCTCTATAGAACTTGGTTTCGGCACTGGTTCTCTCACCTTCGTCGATGGAACGGTAAATTTGGTCTAGGAGGGTGGAAGAGAAGGAGGGCATGTTTGATGATAATAATAATAATAAAGGCTAGCTAGTGAATGAGGAAAAGGTTACCTAGTTTGAAAAGAAGCAATTGAAGGGCCTGAAATAATCAAGAAAAAAGTATGGTTGTTGAGGAAACGTGAAGAGAGTACTTGATGGGTTTTGAGAGATTTGAGTGAGAGAGAGAAGAGTGGAACGCTTGGAGTTAGAATGAACAGGAAGAGAGGGAGCGAGACTTTATAACCACATAATCGGTCACCTACATACTCGTCCTCTTGGCATCTGCTGATGTGGTGATGAACTTGACTCGTAGACAAAGTGATGTTTATTAATAAGAGTACTTTAGGATAATAGGTGGAAAAAGAAAATATTGATTCTTTTATGAATTGTCTAATAATATTAATAATATCTATTATGCAAATACTCATATATGTGTCTACTAAGCTAGAAAATTATGTGTAAGTGTTATAATTTTTTTTGAAACAATATGGTTGCACATTATTTTTTCTTTACACTACCCGTGTTTAAGAAAAAAAAGTAGAGAAGTGTGTTATGTATATTGTTGCTCTTATTATTTAACTCAAAATAATAATAATAATAATAATAATCATATACAAATAACATTATTAAAATTTCATTCAACTCTTTACCATCGAGCGGAACACTAAGATAAGGTTAATTAGTTCTTACTTGTTAGCCAAATCTAAGATGTATTAAGTTTATTCATATAAATTAATGGAATACGTTATTCAGAATGTTTTAAAACATAAATAAAATGTGACAAATATACTATTTAGATTCATGCTTTCTCTTACAAAAACTAAAGTGATAAAGGGATCTGATTTTCTTTTATAATTATTAACTTATTTGACTGCATTCTTTATTTGTAACTCTACAGCACTTTATTTTCCGAATTTGCCCTTTACGAGGTTACCTTTATCCGGTGTTTTAAAACCCGGCTCGGACCGGCCGGGTCGATCCGGGACTTGGTGATCCGGTGGGTTCCTCGGTCGGGTAGTTGGATCGGTTATGCAGTCAGCCCGGATTGGATCGGTTGACCCGGCCGATACCCGGTGACCCGGTTGACTCGGGTTAAACCGGTTTTTCCTTTTTTTTTTTTTTTTTTGTAAATTTTTTTTATGTTGATAAGAACTCTTGAATTAAATCATATTCATATTTTATGATGAATATTATTAAAAGTAAGGTGAAATAATAAGGTATTTTAGATTAGTGTAGTTCGTTTATGTAATTTAGTTGCATCTTATAATGATCTCATGAAGTTAAGTGGTGATAAACACTGATGGTCTCGTGATCTCATCTCAACGGTGGACACTTTTTTCTTATAGTGTATATTTCATGCATACTATTTGTTATCATGATTTAATTTATCCGTATCATGTCAAGCACAAAAAGTGCATTTAACTTATATTGCATGGTTTAATCCAATATTAGGATACGGTCTAGAGCTAGAAGCTTAGAAGTATATAATATTTGCTATCATTGAAAACCAATTTATTTCTTGAAGCTCATTGATAGTTTTCTTATATGAATTTTTATTAATATAAGTAATATTTTTATATTTTTAATATGTGAACAGTTGAACCCGATTGAACCAGTGACCCAATACCTCAGCCGGTTCGATGACCTGTCCGAGTTTTAAAACACTGCCTTTGTCAGACTAGTGAAGGTAGGGATGATTGCATTTTTTTTGTACCCTTTTGGATGGGGGAAGAAATTTGAATCTGAACAAATAAGCAAATACTTCGGTTATTAAATAAAATCCACAGGCTGGATGTACTGGAATATCATTTTCATTCAATGTACCATGGCTGGCTTTAATTCCTATTTTCTTCGTTTGGCATCCAAGTTTTTCAAATGAAAATAAATGCTTTCTGTACGGTAGGCAAAGTTAAAAACAAAAACGGGTGCTATCATTAGATTTCAAATTACAATTGAGCTGGCAAGGTCATATTTGATCTTTACCGGCTAATAATGTAATAAGATATGCTATTCTATTTACATCTTTTACTGCTTATTTTTTGTCTATCATTCTCTAGTATTTTTAGATTAAAATTTCAATTACATTTATCATTGATATTCTGATCGAATAGTATTGAGATATATAGTCCCACATTAATTGGATGAGCAACTAATATGGCCTTTATAAGGCCTTGGACACTCCCACCCCTAGAGTTAGCTTTTGGGGTGGTGTATCCCAAGGTTCTTTACATGGTATCAGAGTCTCACCGTCCCCTGCTTTAAAAAGTGGAATTAAAAAAAAAAAAAAAACACAAAAAGGTAAACCAAAAATGGGCCTGTGCAATTTTCACGCTTCTAGCCTAAAAAGGCTCTTGTGTGAGGGGGCGTGTTGAGATATATAGTCCCACATTGATTGGATGAGCAACTAATGTGGCCTTTATAAGGTCTTGGGCACTCCCACCTCTTGAGCTAGCTTTTAGGGTGGTGTATCCCAAGGTTCTTTACATGGTATCAGAGCCTCACCGTCCCCCACTTTAAAGTGGAATTAAAAACAAAAAAGCACAAAAGGTAAACCAAAAATTGGGCCTGTGCATAATCCACGCTTCTAGCCCAAAGGGCTCTTGCGTGAGGGGGCGTGTTGAGATATATAGTCCCACATTGGTTAGATGTGCAACTAATGTGGCCTTTATAAGGCTTTGGGCACTCCCACCCCTTGAGCTAGCTTTTGGGGTGGTGACCTCAAGGTTCTTAACATGATATCAGAGCTTGAGTGACTAAAAGGTCACAAGTTCGATTCTCACGGCCCCCACTTTCAGGTGAAATTAAAATAAAAAAAAGAACAAAAAGGTAAACCAAAAATTGAGCCTGTGCAATTCCACGCTTCTAGCCCAAAGGGCTCTTGCATGAGGGGGCGTGTTGAGATAAATAGTCACACATTGATTATGTGGGCAACTAATGTGGCCTTTATAAGGTCTTGGGCACTCCCACCTCTTGAGCTAGCTTTTAGGGTGGTGTATCCCAAGGTTCTTTACAAATAGTGACAGACAAAAAAAAAAAGGTAAAATAATATATCACGATACTTTATATATTGTTTAGATATCCTATCTTTAATGTTCAATGCTGCAACTAAGCTATGTCATTCGCTGTATATATATTTAGGGCTACAGGGGATGATTGATAGAGAGAATTTGGGACTGAAGATGAGTTATTTCCCCAATGTATTCAGCGGGAAGGTATATATGAAAATCTAGAATCACTAATCAAAATGCATATTATTAGGCAAATTAACATGGCAATGGTTAAGGGACAAGTTACTCAATGGATCACATTTGAGAGATTATCCAAGCAACACATGAATAATATAGAACGCTTCGGTTGGGACTTGCTAATATATAAAATTGTTGTTCTTATGACCATTTATTTTGATTTTACTTCCCAGGATAATCCAACAAAAAGGATTATGGGTGGATATGAATGAGAATCTATATTACTCGCTCTATAGTACTTCAGCTTTTAGATTATGGGGATTGGGGCCATTTTTCTTTTACTAATTTGTGCCATGCGTTTCGATTTACCCTGCCAAATCAGGCAGTTTTTTTTTTTTTTTGGTGGAACAAATTATGAATTTGCTTTGCATAAATTCATCAGGGTATCTTCTGTTTACTAAAAAATCTTAATTTAATTAGGAAAGTATGTTGCAAAAAAAAAGAAAAAAAGAAAAGAAAAACCTATATTATACGAGCAAATTAAAAACCTTAGGATCGGTCAAATATCACGTCCCCATCTATGAAACCCTTCTAACTGACAAATTTAGTGAAATCAAATAATTGTGCGTGTGCATGTGATAAAATAATGCGCACAAATGCACATCCATTACCATCTTCATCATTGCTCGCGATTGTTGTTACTTGATTAATTTTATAAGGCGACGAGACTTGTTGATATATCTACTCATGTAGAAAGGGGAAAACAAAAATCTATCATTGAGCATACTGAAAAGGATATATCGGACTTACATTAAGTAGCAACAAACCCTACATTGCTAATAGATCTATGAATATCAAGGATTTGCTCCCATAGCACTTGTCAAGATCACATGTCTTCCAATATTTGGTTTCCTCTATGTATATCAGCTACAAGACATTAACTATATATGATATATACAACATACATGACCCATTGTGCTCCCTATCTTGAAGAGAAAGAAAAAGCTCGACACAGAAAGGTCCGTCCTTGATTTGGTCTATAAATTCAACTACAAGCAGTGTGATGACGAATTTGAATTGTGGTGTAGGTTTTAGAAAATGGTCATAGCAAGGCAAGGTGAGGCTGGCTTCCACCAACAATTAGACAATGATCTTATGTACTTTCGACGTCTGATGGCAATGGATCTACAGGGGCATTTAATATTTGGTAGGGTCAGTGCCGGAGATATTGTGGTGTAGTCAAGAAATGAAGTCAAATACGGAGCAAATAGATGGACTTCATTTGCAAATAGAAGCTTTCATTAATCAATTGATAGGAAATTTTGTGGCAAAAGGAAAACATTGTTGTTTATCATCATAAGACCCACACAAAACCAATCATTTTTCCGGGATCTTGTTCGAAATTGTCAATAAACAGCCAAAAAGGAATTTGGAGGCTATTCACCATTTCACCCCATTTGCCGTCAATCGTCGTGGTTTATCTCTCTCTCTCTCTCCCACTTCGTAGAGAAAGTAACTTTTCATCGTAACTATATTTATGAAGGATCGATAGAAATGCTATAGGCTGGTAACTATATTTTTTCTAACAGTTTCCATAAAAATCTCTTATAATATAAAATGGAAATTGATCATCTCATGTAAAAAAAAAAACATGATATGGCCATATGAGAAAGATCACAACCAATACAAAGGTAAATCAACGGTTATGATTTCGTAACTACTTATTTTAATATTTTCTCTTTCTCTTCCATTATTACTATTGATCCAACTTTGTATGATTATAATTTCATACATGATATGGTCATGTGAATTTTCACATGAGATGATCCAGATCCAAATAAAATAAATCTTTAGTTATTGATCTTTTCAAATTATTATTTGTTTCTTAAAACGCACATGGCTATGCATCCATAAACATTCATTTGATCTTGTACTTGCGAACAAGATAACTGATTTAATTGCTTGAGTGTACTCGTTGGGAGCAGAGTGCTCCCACGCATGT